AAGAGAGGGAACACAAGCAGGGGGAGTGGGAGAGGGAGAAGCAGGCTTCCCGCGGAGCAGGGAGCCCGATGTGGGGCTCGATCCCAGGACCCTGGCATCATGATCTGAGCCAAAGGCAGACGCTTAACGACTGAGCCACCCAGGCACCCCGCACCTAGAAATTTTAAAGCACTCTACAGAAACAGGAGTTTCTTCACCCCATGAAACTGTGCTATAAGGAGACTCTACTTACCTATTTTGTTGTACAACACTAAAGACTCACCATTTAAAACAAATACATCAATTCCCCTCATCGGTGGTAGCTACGTTTTACAAAGTCACTGCAAACACTGAATTAGCAAATACTGAGCCACTGTTCCTGGAGGAAATATAGGGTTGGGTTACTGTGTGTCTCTGGTCACAAAATGTTCTCCAACTGACCAATACATAACCTTGTTTTATGTGTGTTTCTTTCTCTTTTAATTTATTTATTTTGAGAAAGAGAGAGAGAGCACACACATGGAGGGGGGGGCGCAGAGGGTGAGGGACAGAGAGAATCTTAAGCAGGCTCCACACCCAGCACGAAGCTGGACCAGGGCTTGATCTCACAACCCTGAGATCATGACCTGAGCCAATCAAGAGTCAGATGTTCAACCGACAGAGCCACCCAAGCGCCCCATATGTGCATTTCTTTTTAAAGACGGCACTTCAGCACTACTCTTGGGAACCATTTTAAACAACAAAATCATCAATAAAAAGCACAAAAGTGTAAAAAGCATAGCACTAAACAGGGAAAAGAAACTTGTTTATAGCAGGAAAACAGAAACAAGAAGGTACGGCATTGCGGAATATGTGAATGTTGGGTGAATCAAATTTTCTGTAGCTTTGCACACTTCCATGAGAGTGCTGCTGAGTACTGACTCTGGCTTACAAATAAATTTTAGAAAGCAAGCAAATCTGCAAATAAAGAATCCGCAAATAATGCGGATCAACTGTATATGAGTCAAATATTTCAGTGTAGTCTCTGACTTGATTGTCACCAAAAGATAAGCTCTGGAAAGCCCTAACAAATATCCTTCAGTTACTATGCAAATTTAAAGAGTTTTGGACTACACTACTTCAAGAAGTAAGATGTCTGAGGCATTCACAAGTTGGTATTGTTAAAAATGTTACTTCCTACCTGATATATTCTAAAAGGGATAAAACGAAATCCATTTTCTTCTGCAGGATATTCCATGAGTTTCCGGTTGATGGCCCAAAACTGGTCAAATCTGTCTGTAATGATAAATTATTTGTTATTAAAAATGAACATTATAATTTAAAACCTCACATGAAGAAATGAAAGTTGTTAAACATCCTCTTAGAAGTTTCTGAAAAAGCATCATTTATATATTATTTTTTAAACTTATCTTTCCATAACTAAACGGAAAGCAAAACATAAATTTTTCTACATTTTGCTTCCTCTTCCTAGATATTTGCATAGACATTTCATCTCATAAGAGAAACCCTGAACAGATGACTACTTGTGTCATCAAGGCAAAAAACATCAGATAGGGATGAATGTCTAGATTCTCTATCCTATTGCTTACTGTCTAAACAATAAAAGGACAGCTTCAAGTGATCTAAGTCTTTTTTTTTTTTAAGATTTTATTTATTTGCAAGAGAGAATGAGAGACAGAGAGCATGAGAGGGAGGAGGGTCAGAGGGAGAAGCAGACTCCCT